ACTAGTTAATAACAGATGACACCAAAATGTGGTTGAAGAATTTTTTTTTAAAAAAGGGAAAATTGGAATAAATGGCGCACGAGCCGCTGGCTGTTAATGCTTAACTTTGTTCACAATGACCTGACGAGTGGCAGCCTAGTAGGAAGAAGCAATATATTTTGATGAAGTTATATTTACTTCGTCTTCTCGTTGTTGGGAACCGGCGAGTTCAGCGTACTATACAAAAATTCGACAACTCTCTCTATTTTGCCGTCTAGTTTGTTTGTGATTGCCTGTTCCTCATTTCTCCTCGTACTCTCCAGGAAATGTCCACGACATGCATCTTCAAACCCGGGAAAGTCGCCGCAGCTGGGAGAAAGCTTTTTGTTCTCAGATTCTTGTTCCTGTCTTCACCGTGAGTGCTCTCAAAATTGAGTGATTTCTTTTTGTTTCTTTCGCAAATTCGTTTGCTACAAACGATCTTTGTGTATACAATTATCTTTCTAGTACAACTCTAATTTTTGCAATATCTTTCCAGCATCATGACGAGAGTCTCAAGAACGCGTCAAGACTTTTGATGGGAGACGAGAGATTTGGTACGCTTTTCTATATTACTTGTTGATGCAGTAAAAAATGCGTGGCAAGCGAATGAATTACTAGTGGAATGGAGAACTTTAGTAATATCCTTGAAAGAGGCGGGTACCTCAAACTTAACTGGTAGTGAGCCGTATCAGGGTTTACTAATACTTTAATCGTTGAATGCCGTATTTGGTTTTCTTTTCAATTATTACTGAACTTGCACAACCTCTTTACAACAAACTAAGGAAAAACTGTGGAATGAAAGCTAGTTAGCTAAGAGAGTCTGCAAAATGAGAAGAACTGCCCTATGAGTGACGATGATAGTTAAAAAATGGAGGAGACTGACTTAGCTCGTAAATGAAAAGCTTTAAAAATATTGAGGCTAACTTTTTCAACTAAAACAATTTTTCACACATCTTTGTATGGTGTCCTTTTCAGGAAAGGATCCGCTGGTACGTCAACTTTACGAGTTCGATGAACAGGTGGAAGACTTATCCTTAGGTATCAGGCCCATGTCTCGAGCTCTTTGGAAGTACAGACAGCATATTACTGTAGAGGAACTGAGCAGCTCTTTTCAAAGAGAAGTCCTTTCTGGTGGCGAAGAGGAATTCAAACTGTTGGACGCTTTCCTCAAACAGGTAACGTCGACATATTGCTGCAAAGGGTTGGGGCTCTGTGCTACAAAGATGGTCTACCTTGAAATTTCTACAAGGACTAGCCAGAGACACTTTATAATAAGGTTTTCCTGGTAATTTTAACCCCTTTTTCTGTTTAAAATTAAGGCAGCGTTTACTGATGAAAAACCGATGGGAGTCTCCTTTCTACGTCTATCTTTTCGTACATTTTTCCTTTAATAGGAACACAAGTTGCGCTTCGTTCATTTTCTGCCCGACGTTGTTCGCCTTCATCGATTATTGATGGACAGATTCCACCTGCGGATTGACAGAACAAATGCTGAGAATTATACCGTCCGTGAATTTCTCAAGGAACTTCCGAAAGGTACGTTAATCAGTTGCAAACCTGCATTTATGGTTTAGATGCAAAAGGTTGATGTTTTTAAGCTGCTTTTCAACCAGTAAGCTGTAGTTAGCAAATGATATTTTAGGCAACAAGGATGGCGGAGGTGTCAAGCTATTGCATTTCCGCTCCGTGGAAACGGGATTGCTAAATTTCAATTTATTTAATATTTATTCATTTGTTGAGAAAAATTCCTATGGTCAGAATTTTCTTGGAAACTCTCTAGGGTCATCTGCACAAGCAACTTGCGTCCTAGACAAGACTTTGCTTGGCAAGTCTCCATGTTTGACATTTTCCGCGTGACGTCTTCTGGACAAGGAGATTGTGTTTCTACAGCTCCGGTGAATTTTTTTTAGGAGAAATTTGCCAGTGTAGGTGCAACTGTGATGACTCTGGTAGTAAATTTTAATTCTGAGTGATATTAAATTTGTTTCCCAGGATCTGTGAAAGATGAGTATACGAATCTGTTCCAGAGTTTCAAGAATGCATGGAATGCTTGCAAGTCATTTCTTGGTGATCAAGGTACAATGAACGTTCCATTTTCCAGGGTACATGGAAGAAGCCCTGAGTAATTCTTGTGACCAAATTCGGTTTTTTGTAAACAGTGTTTATGTAGTTACCCAAAAGTTTATCTACACCCATCGTGGTGAGATATAGAAGACGAAACTTATCAGTGATGCGAAATTTAGACTCAGATGGGGAGCGAAGACTTAGTCATTAAATATTATATCGAACATTTGGATTGCCGTTTTTATTTAGTCCCGGTCAAAGGGAAACGCACTAATTTATTGAAAAATGCAGTTTTTTTCCCTGCAGTTCCTTTCGTCAATCGAATCTTTTTAATGTTGTAATTTATTTCAGCTTAGACACAAATTCAGTGTTTTCATCGATTTTTAGCTGTTGCAATTTTATCCTTTCCCTTTTGGAATACTAATATCTGGTCTTAATTTCTTTTTGTTATCCTTTACAACCTAAGGTCGCCTGCGCGTTCCACAAGACCTTTGTAATACTACAATGGACAACGACTGTCCAATTGCGATGGTTCTCCCAAGTACCTCCGGGATGGGGATTTGTTCGACCTCGCTCACCTTCTTCCTGGTTAATGTAAATAACGAGTCTCTAGGAGCCTACCGTAGTGCGACTAATCAAGATAGGTACATAATTTCGTTATGGATAACTTTAAGAGTTGCTGTTTTCCTTTTACTTTCTCTGGATGCTAGTGGATGATGTCATCTGATGCGAGAAATGTAAAAAGTTTATAATTTTGTTCTACTTAATTTAGGTCTCGGGTCTTTATCAAACACCCTGAGCTGCAAGTTGGGACTGATATCAGCTAATGCAGCTTTAGATTGAAACAGCTCATAGATTAGGGTTGTTATTTGGGAACAGTAGTTCAACTGTTACAAACGAAAGTGAATCATGATGACAGTTAAAACGTTTAACAATGCATGATCATGAATTACCTTTTACCGAAACGATTGAACAAAATTTTTGCTTTTTATTCCTTTTACAGTTCCATGTCTTGTGTATTTGTCACCAGTGTGGTTGCATCTTGTTGTACCCCTGTTATTCAGTACTTAGTTATTAGCAAGACCCAACTATACATCTCATCGGTAAAATTCCTTTTCCTTTTTTAGCTTCTTGGAACGTGTTTCCGTATCAGAGGTGACATTGTCGCACTTGGTCGCATATGATCCTCAGAGGGACCTGTTGCCCCTCATCCTGGCTCACTGTAACTACTCTCTGGAGGTGGGACAGGAAACTTTAGTTCACTATGACTGGGCGGCTCTAGAGAGACAGTTGATTGACAGGTTGTTTAGGGGAAGGCCTTTTGTTGAGTTCAAGGTAGCGTGGCAATCTTTAGGACATATTATGCGATGAGAAAAAAGCACATTTATTTTTTCTGCAAAAACTTGTTTTCAACGCAAAGGAATGTATTAATTCTCTTCATTCTGTTACTGAGTGTGTTTCATCTAACCGCAAACAGTTTGAATCCCATTTTTTAGGCAAGTTTCTCTTGTGAAGATATGTCTCAATCAATTACAACAGTTTCAGACGATAGATAACAAATTAATTCAAGCTTACATTGTTTCTCAGAATTAAAGTTCTAACATAGGGTAAAAGATTATATGCATACTGCTTCAGTTTCCAAGAAGTTTGTTTCAAACAGCATTATCAGCCACATGTTGCATTTCTTGACACTATTTTGACCGTTTGTTAAATAGCTTGTCTCGCAGTTCAGTATCTGATGACCAAAAAGTAAGAAAAAAGAGAACAGAACAAAACAAAACCAAAAAACAAACGTAGTTTTTCAAAGCGCTTTCTGAGCTTCGCTAAGGCACCCCTTCACAGCTGCAGCGCTTTTTTTTTCTTTGCTTCAGGAGGAACGTTTCGCGTTCAGCCAAGACACTCGCGATGACGCTGTGTTCGCTTCTCTCAGTGAAAAAATTCCTCAGGTAAATTTCACAACTTAGCTTTTTTTCCTTTATTATATACCTATGTACAATAAAGATCTAGAAAAGGAAATTTGCTTTCGCCTTAGTTTCAGCGATGCACCCAAAAATGAAATCTCAAGGAGTGGAAGGCTAAAAAACAAGGGTAATCTGGAGGTTTGTTGCTGAAGGGTATCTGATGACGTTTGATTGGCGATGCAAACATAGGGTTTCAAAATAGGGGAAATTTTAGGCATTACGTTTTTTACTTTTTAGTGTTTTCTTTCATCTGTTTACTCCTTTATTTGCAACCTAACTTTTTGTAGTTTTCCATTGGGAACTAACGCTTGCTTCCTTTATATGCTTTTGTGTATCTTTGATTGCATTTTTGTGAAACAGGTGTAAGTTACTTTTTTTTTTATCATATATGCTGGCCTACCCACCGCACTCTGATCCATCTTGACCACGAAAAAGTCAGCACGTTCCACTTTCAAACCTTATAAATATTTTTCTTCCCACTCCTTCAGTTAACGGAAGCATGTTTTCGGCTAAAAATTGTCTTTGTCACGTCTTAAATAATATATTTATCACATTATTATGATGTTAATGTTTGTATTGGTGTGGTTAAGACACTTAGAGCGATTGTTTCTTCACAGGAATCTATAACCCGCGTCATCGAGAGCCAGATTATTGTAGATCTGCGGTCTTCCTTGTCTGATGTCTGTGATGTTATGTCGTCACTGGATATTGCTATTGGTTTTCTTGCCTCATCGGGCGGCCAGCCGCAGAGGCCTCTAAAATGGTACTTGCATGAAGTACTTAAGTTACGAAAAGAACGAGGTCTCAAGAGTCCAACGGTAAGTACATTTCTTCTCTTTATTTGGAAGACTTACTTTAGCAGTCATCGTCCTTGACTGTGCAACGCTCTAACCACCAACAGCTGCATCAAAGTGTTCTTGTGTAGCACTCGAACGATGCGTGAGAAATGTCTAGTAATTCTTTTCCATCAGTTAACTAAAGGAGAGGCCCTGTTATCGACGGTTTGCTTACATGCCAACCCTTTTTCTGTGCAGGAGTGCTTTTACTCATGCATGGGTTCTCATGGCGTTTGCCGTCTTGTTTCAGGCAGAGCAGCACTGCAGCTTATCCCATACCTTGGCATTGTGGCGGCTTATGGCTCTCGAGAGAGCAAAAATAAAATCAAGGAACAAACAGGTTACGTTTGAAATGATTTTATTTCACTCTGACTTATAATATTCCTCGCCGTAATATTTTCCTCTAACTTTAGCCCCATAGCATTCGTTTGTTTACAAATAAAAATAACGATTCAACTCGGGATGTACACCTCCGCTTTTCTCTAAGGTCAGCAGTCAAAGCGCAGTTTTGGCATTAAAGGTTTGATGAGGTGTGTTTGAGCTCGTCAGATCCACTTTAAATCAAACCCTTTTTGGAAAACCTTTTTTCAGGAGCCATTTGAGCAATTGCCTGACGTTTTCAAGGAAAAACTTAGCACAAGTGAACAGGCCAGCCTAAATCGCGTGTTGCGAAAAATCGACATGGACATATTTCTGCCGCAGCTCTTGCAGATTATTCTTCTGAATGTTAAAAAAGATGGCGAAACGATTTCGACGATGAGGTAGGACCGGCTATTCGAAATGTTTCATTCTATAATGTGTCAGTAAAATAAGGATTAAAGTCGTTATTCTCATCTTGCACCTCATACAGTTGCTATCGTAACTTTTGGAAATAACTGATGCATTTGCCACCGTGCTACTGTGGAGCCATGACATATAAACCATGACAACTACGACTTACACTCATTTTTTCTGTGAAAAAATATTCATGATTTTTTTTGGTGATGTTGTTTCCTGGGACGGGTGATCGTCTTTTCCTGGTATTTGATGAGAAGGTTCTAACGATGAACACTATATTGTGCCTGGTTTCCAATGTTACCTAGTTTTCCCTTTCTCGTTCAAAGCTCCTTTCGTATTTCATAAACGACTTGCTGTTTCAAGTTTACGTTCAGTTCTTTGAGCACTGGTGCTTAAAAGGTGAACTGAAAATTGATAGTAAAATCTTGATATTCCCAATTGCTGGGAGTGAAGAGACAGTTTGCGGCTCTTGCTGCTTTGGAAGTCCTGAAACTTTTGCTCATCTACCTTATTAGGTACTATAGTTTAACAGAACTAAGATCTTAATACAAATTTATTGCAGCTTTGAAGAGTACTTGGATTTGTGTTTAGCCAACAAAGGCCTGGAACAAATCCCAGGAACAGAGAACATTCCGGAGGGCATTAAAATGGTGCACCTAAAGGCAGTTTGGAACTCCGCTGTCCAGTTAAGTGACGACTTTCACAAAGATCGTCAAGCTGTATGAACCTTTGTTTAAAGAGCAATCAGTTCCAAACTCAAGACATCAAGACAGTGGTGCAGTTAGTTAGGTGTTAAAATTAAAGAAATGAATGGTAGATATTAGGATGCAAACTAGTAATAACATTAATGGTACAAGCTGAATTTTCAGAAAAATTTGGCTTCTAGCTTCAGTTTTCTCTCTTATAGTAATGAGATATTAGATACAATCAATAACAAATCAATTTGAAAATGTTGGTATGTTATAGATACAGCCATTTTTGTAGCTATTGTTTGGTACTTCGCGGTCGTTACAGTTAATGGTTGGGACCAGTCTGTTCCTTTTACTACAAATATTTACCTTAGTTTTAATTAGAATGTTGGAGGAAATTTCTTGTCGATGCCCCCTCTCCAAAAATGGGAGAAAAAAGCGAGAGCTTTTATGTATCTGTGTCTAGGCTAGTATTATTAATTAATTTTTCATAGTTTTTTTTTTCTTATATACTCGGAAGATAACTCAATATTCTACAGCTTAGAATGATATAACCACGACATGCAAGCTTGGACCCCACCTTGAATTGGTGTTAAGTTGGTATTGATAGAGAAAGTTCCGTTTCAATAAACTTTTGCATAAATTACTTTTTTGCTGTCGTAAATTTGCAGGATACCCGCGATTAATTGAGCCTTGTGTGCGGAAGGTCTCAAACTTTCATTTTGCCTATTTCTTTTCCTTTGACAGATTTACATGGAGGTTTCAATGTTTGTTTTTTTCGCATTGTTTCAAGACGGTGGTTGTTTCTAAGGTTAGCCACTGAAATGTTTAACTGCGGTGTGAGGGCCCTGAAGCCAAACAAAAGACATTTAAATAGAACCACTGTTAATGAAAAAGGCCGGATGACATTAAGAGAATTTTGAATAACCACAGCATTAAAGTTGCTCAAAAACTTCTTCAGACGTTGGAGCATATTTTTGTCAAATCTGAGGATACTGTCACAAAAGAACAAAGAACTGACGCCATTTCTTCTATTCCATGCAATAATTGTGATCACGAGTATATCGGACAGACCAAACGTCAGTTTGGTAAACGTTTGAAAGAGCATCGAAAAGCGGTTTCTTTTCCAAAAAAAGACAATTTAGCTTTGTCAGAGTACCCATGCTTGACTAATCATTCAATTGGGTGGGATGATTCTAAAATTATCACCACTAATCGACGTTACCAGTCTTACTACCAGCACCGTCAGAAAAAAGGGCAGCTAATTAATGAGCATATAAAAGAACCTCTTGTTGCAACGATTAGATCACCCTTGATGACTAGACAGGAGTGTCGAAACAATGGTCGGTTACATTCTTTAAATCTTTAAACCAGTGTAGCAATAAGCCATTTTAGTATATACTAAAACAACTATTAACCTCAGTGTCGGTGGTTAGCGGTGGATACTTACCTCCACTTCGGTGAATAGTTGTTAAATAATTGGGGTTTATCAACTGAGTTGATAATGTAAATTGGCCACTGTAAAGAGTTTAAAAGCTGACATTTCGAGCGTGAGCTCTTCGTCAGAGCGAATGGAGGAATTGTGGGTTGCGTGTGTGTTTATATTCGAAAAGTGGAGCTACGCTATTGGTGGGAACATGGTGACGAGAAAAACAAGAATAAACTTGTAGAATGAAAAGTGTTCGTTGATACCATTGGGATGAAGAGTGCCGATTTGAAAGATAAACGTTTGTTCAAGAGTTTGCGGCTTTCCGAACTACTTAAATAAAGAGAAAGGACGCAAACCGCCATATAATGCTGACTGGTTTGGATGCGTCCTTGTCATTCCTTTCTACGTCGCGAGGTGTTCTCGGAATCGGTCACCTAGCCGTCTACCTGTTTCACCAATGTATATCTTTTTGCAGTAAGAGCAAGTTATGCAACAGATAACATTGGCGGAGGAGCACGTGAAGTGATCAGTAATCTTAATTGATCAATTGGGTCAGGATACTCTCTTGACGTGAATGAAAGGACAAGTTTTGCATCGTGCGCAAGCTATTTTAGAGTTCATGGTTGGTCATTAGTTTGTAGTGAGCTTCTGACTAAAAAGTTACCTATGTTTTTGTCGTGTTTGTAGCATCAAACCAGGTCTGATTGTCCCTTACGAAGGGCTAACGCTCGAAACGTCAGCTTTGAAACTCTACGATGGCCAACTTACATCATCAACTCAGTTGTTATAACCAAATTACCTTGTTACTCCCAGCGACGAGCAACAACAGTTTCTTTAGAAACTTACCCCCTGTATGGTTGTCCATTTGGTTGCTCTGTGAACTTTAATATATCTTATTTGCAAGAAAGAAATAGCCTACCAACATCAAAGAAGCCAGTAAATATTTGACGCTTTTTTTTTCATTCGGAGACAACAAAGGCCGGGATCCACAGTGTTTTCTCGACTATGTGAAACAGTGACTAAAGATAATTGTGAAAACGAAGATGATAAACACGAAAAAGGAAGAAAACAATTTCGCTCGATAAAGGTCATTAAAAAGATGAATTTTGTCAATGTCTTACATTAATGTTGTCTAACGTTAGCGTTCATTACTTTGTGATGTGAATTAACTTACATAGTGTTTTCAAGGACGTAGATCAGCGCAGAAGGTGAGACTCGGGACCACCACGCCTTCCACCTCACGGCGTTGCTGTGTTCCTCCACACCTTGCGAAAGACTCCTAAAGAAGGACCCTTTTAGGGATACGGTAGGCCTTCGCGGGTGTCCTTCACGTAAAAAGTTTTCAAAGCGCTATTTAAAGCATAACCACCATAAACTATAGGTCAATGAAAAGATTATGAAATACACCATTCGGCAACAATTATTTCGTTTTAGCTCGATCTAATCATAAACCGAATGGTGTGCGACAATCCGAAATGGACAATGTTCTTTAATACGAAATAATCGCATATCAAATCTGACCGCACAAATAAAACTTCTGCACAATTTCAATCCTGAGGGGTTGGGCTTCAAAACCGTATGGGGATTTTTCGATATTATGACTGGTTGCTTCGCAATCTATCTGACAAGTTTGCTGATCAAAATTTTACCGATAGGCATTACGTTAGAGGCCATTGGTAAAAATCCATTTTGAGAAACGGAATTCCTCTACACGGTTTTTTAGGTTGGTATCTTTGGAATCTTCGGACCAAACTTCAAGGCAACCCGTAAAGTTTACATGCACTATCAGTTCGTTCAAAGAAGGTACATTCGCGTAAAAACGAGGAAGGTTTTTTTTCCTCCAAAGTTTTCCCAACAATTCATGCCTTCGGGTGACCACACGTCAAGTTATGTCAACACTCTGAAAAACTCGAAATGCCCACCGCTAATAGGAACACAGGAGCGTCCTACAGAGATAACCATCTATCAGTTACCCGATAGACCTTTAGTTCTATCGGGTAGTTCTGAAGAGCGGCTTAAGTACGCCACAGCAAAACTTAGTGGTTGCTGATCGAGTGCGAGCAGCGAAGATAATAAACCACGAGCTTTTATCCGCTTCGGTGAGATTTTTTCGCCGTTCCGCGTTGAATTTCTTTACTTTTGCTGCTGGCAGCCAGGCTTCTCTTTTACTTTCAGTTATGGACTCTTCTACTTTTTACCTTCCTCCATTCACTTTCTAGTTTTAAACGCAGAGAGATAGCAAAGATCTCCACGTGCAACCGAAATCAGATGTTTACACGAATGAAATTCAAGGACTAGGATGTTTTACTGCAAGAAACCCTACGGGAATTATTTATGCTGATATGTTATAATTAGCTATTCACACTCTGGCACCCTAAAGAACTTCCCTTTAAAAATACTTTTTTGTAGATAATTTGCGTGGGCTTCACGATTTTTCCAAAGTTTTTCTTTTAAAATATAGTTAAAAGAATAATGCTTAAGTTGGAGAAAAAAAAAAAAAAAAACTGGTCCTCTAAGGTCTACCGGGAATTAGTGTAAATAGGCTAATCAGCATCTCAAAATTAAATGGGTTGATTTTCTAAAACTAGCCATCAGCAGTAAGCAACAGAAGCATATTGTGGTTTAATGTTGATAGTTATGTTTTAGTTCCCTCACCCTCCATAGTCGTTCTCTTGTCTAAGTTATTAAGGAAGCCGTGAAGTGCTGGGTTCGTCCCCGGTCGTCTCTTTAATTAAGGTGAGTTTGGGTGCTTTAAGGTGGCTAAACACAGTTTTTGATACCTGTGAATAAAGGCTGATAGTTTCGAAAGAAACTGTTTGGAGCTGCGTTGGTGGGAGGAACGAAATAATTTGGATATATCAACAAAGTTGAAATGGTAAATTGGCCACCGTAACGATTACATAAGCTGACGTTTCGAGCGTTAGCCCTCCGTTGTTAGCTCCGATGAAGGGCTAACGCTCGAAACGTCAGCTTTTGTAATCGTTATTTTGATACCTGTGTTTCCTTCGCCATTTTCTCTAAAACCCTTGATCTCTCGGTCGCCAAAACTGGCAGCAAGTAAGTTAACAACACAAACTTTGTTTTTTTGATAGTTAAGGTGACGTATGTGCCGTTGCCATGGCGGCATAAATAAATATAAAGAGGCCTTTAAAATCGGTTTTGTTTATTTGTACAAAATCTAGTTCGAGAAACTAGATTTTGTACAAATCTAGGGTTCTTTCGGTGACGACGAAAAAGCTGAGAATTGCCGGGTTAAGTTCGCGCCGTTAACTTTTCTAACATATCTTTGTAATAAAAAGTTAAGCCCTCAATACAGTGTGCTAACTATAGAGAAAAATAGCACAGTTAGTGCGGGTACGAGTTGAGTAAATAAAATAACCGCTCTATTGACGGCATATTTGTTTTTCGCAATCCTTGTGCACTCGCGTGAAACCGCCATGTTTGTTTACATATTTGATGCCATTTAAAAGCTCGCGCCATTTCCGTACCCATTCTTTGCCCGGCCAAAAAACCCCATTGAGCCACCTTGAAGGAGTATTTTTGATTCGACTCTGCTGAGATGACCTCTGACACTAAACAGGCTAACTTTAGGATGTTTTTTCGTCCAAAATTACTCACGTAAATAAAGCTCAATCAGTTTTACTAATAAAAAAACAGATACCTCAAGCGTAGTTAAAGAATGGTGAATAATAGGTGCGTCTGGGTGAATCGAAATAAACAACATCGTATGCCGCTCTAAAAGTATTGAATCTTCACCTTCGATCACTCTTTAATCTGAAAACTCGTTAGCTTATTCAAGAAGAGGGAATGCTTTTGATCTCCCTCTCCCCCTTTTTGTAAAATGTTGCTATGTTTCTCACTGGTGTTGATCAGAAGATTTTATTTCCCACCTTTGTACAAACAAATGCCGCTCTGGTGTCCCTAGCAACTGTGAACTACCACTTCCGGTTGCATTTCCGAGAAGTCTATTTGCGCCGCTGATTCCAAGAAGCACTCGGTTCGAGAGTTTGACGCAACCTTGTAATGTCGGGGACATGAGTAACATGTGGCCATAGTTTCTAGCGATGCGGTGCCCTAAATGTGGAAGCGTAGACTTAAAAGATACCTTTAAATGGTGTCCAGAATGTGGTTTTCCTCTTCAAAGTATTGCTCATGGCAAGGGTAAAATTGTTCCAAATGCAACAGGGGAGCAGCCGCGAAGCGATGCTTTGGCAAGGAGACACGACCTTGGTAAAGATGAAGAACACGTTGAAGGTAAATTGTGCCATCATGGATGGTAATTAAGGCATGTCTTCGAAATCTTGCTCAAAATTTAACGCGATCCATGATTAGATTTCGATTTTGTCTAGCGCAAGATGATTAATTATTAGCGGACCGTTCTGTGCGAGACAATTTGGTTCTTTGTAGAGTTAATAGGTAATTCAGCTTGAATGTGCACACCAAAAGATTCACTTATTATTTTTCCATTTCATCGGTCAACAAATGTTTTATTCTTTATCTCAACGAGGCATTATCCCGTATTTCTTATAAGTAATTTGTGCAGATAATGAACCACTCCCGGAAGCACTAAACCATAACATATTATTCAATATTCATAATTATTCGTCATGTTGTCACTTTCCCTTTGTTTGTGAATCGTTTTGGAAAATAACAAACTGGGGTTGGAATTCATCAGCAAAGTCTAAACAGTCTGACTAGACTGTCTGAGTTTAGGTGTTTATATGGCTGGTTATTGCTCAAAAATGTCCTTTTATCTTATATTATGACATAACTTAGACACAAGGCATGCTCTGATTGGCCAAAAATCTATTGTATATTTGGTTTACTATGATTTGGGAAATGAAACTAATTGAAATGGAAATCTGTAATTTACAAATTTCAAATGTGTTGTTTTTTTTATAAAAACTGCTGTCAGTCTGCTGCTTTCCAGACTTTTGCAAATTAGAAATCTGTTTATAAATTGTAAATTTGAGGTAGAAATCTGCAATTTTTGAGATAAAAAAGATCTTGTAACTTGCAAAATAGATGTATGTTATTGACCAGCCAGAGGTCCGTATTGGGAAAAACTGTGCCTGAGGTCTTGGATACCGCCCGAGGCTGTAGGCCGAGGGCGGTACTCAAGACAGAGGGCAGAGTTTTTTCCAATACGGACCAACCTATGCTGGTCGATAAAATTTTTATTTCTTTCTAACACATAAAAAAAAATGATTGCTATAAGAACCCGAATGATTTAAGGCCATAATTAGGAGTTTAATTACGGGAAAATCCTCCATTAACTTAACAATTTGATAGCGAGTGGATGATAAAGAAAACAGACGTTATTCAAATTAAAGAGAAAGCTTTCACCGAAACATTTTTATTTGTAAAGGTAACTTAAAAGGCTTCCGAGCAAACTTTGAAACATTTTTTGATAAGTAACTGTCATGATGTGACACCTGTCAATGAAAGAGGAAAAAACCGTAGCCTTTGAATGAACAACAGTACTGGTATGACAAACACACAAGAGTTAAATGTTAACAGTTAAAAAAAATGTTAAAAGTATTGCTTATTTCCAAAGACGATTAATCTTCAAAGATTTACCTCTGTTCCGTTTTAAAATGTCACGGAAAGTCAAATTGTAAGTGAATACAAATGTGTGCTTTGGAGTTGTCAGTCTGCTTGTTTGTTTTCTGTAATGTTGTGTGTAAATCGGTTCTTCTTCCACCGAAAAGCTGAAATAGAGCCACTATTTGAAACGTATTTTAAGGAAAGATTGAACAAGGTGGTGTATTTTATTTCTATTTTATCAAAACAAGCGGAAAATAACCAGCTAAACAGACTATTTTAATCATGTTTTATTTTCTACATCAGTAAAATAGTGATAAATAGGCTGTTTTATTTCTGTTTTCTGCTGATAGGGCATGCTATAGCCATTTCCTTTAAAAAATATGAAAAAAATAGGCTATCACAAACCAATTTTATCACAGAAAATGTTGAATAATTGCAAAATAGATATAGAATAGACTGTTTTATTGCTATTTATTGAGGTAGATTCCAATCCGTTGCAAAAATAGGTATTAAATAGTCTATTTTGATTCTATTTTCTTTAAAGTATCCCAGACCCACAATATTTTAAACAGCAACTAGGTGTGTAGTGTAATAACCTGTCCTATTTTATACCTATTTTATTCATGAATTCAAGCTTGACTAACAATGTATTGTTGTTCTATATTACATAATATAATTTTAAGTCACCTGTTTGGCACTTGCTCCAATCATATCTTTATTACATACACTTGAAAGTCACAGTTTGTGTGTTGTCAAGATAAAGATTAGTTCAAATTTGAAAATGTTGGGCGGACGTTTTCAAGTTTCGCGGCCATAACTCACTAAAAATCAGCTGCACTATACTCCTGATCATAATCTTTGTATTGACTAAAATAACTCTTACAGTAATTCGTTTTCGAAAGGAACAGCGGTCTGGCTTAACAAACTGAGTGATGGTTCACCAGTTTCCATATGTGTGAAGTCGCTCGGTTGCGAAGCATCACAATATTATATTGACTCCATGCTGAGGTTGTCCGAGGGCAAAGCAGTGGACATTGGAAAGTTCTGCGGCCGACGCTGCGAGGTTGTTCGAGGTATCTTTAGTCCCAGTTGAGAAAGATACTGGTTGTAAGGTCCACGCAAGTTTCTCTTTAGCTTTTTTGACGAAGTATGATCCTCACTCTTATCCACCATATTTTTTTGTCACGTTCTGCTGACATCTAGTACGGTCGCCATATATATGGGATATTAGGATTTTCCTTATTTGGTGACATACGGGACACGGAGTTTAGTTTTGGCGGGCGAAACGAATCTTGTCTGTCGATCGGGGAAGCGTGAAGTTCCGTTGGTATTTTGCCTTTTCTATTTAGATCTTGCCTCTGTCTTTAGACATAATGAGCAAGTTCACAAAGAACAATGATAGAAGGCATGCAAACAACATCATCATTCAAGTATGGTGAAAGAAGTAAGTGAAATTGTTTTTTTATTTATACCAAGTTCCAAGTTTATTTCACACGTGAAGGTGCTTTTGATTCGTGGTCAGAATAAGCCCCAAAGTTTGTTGCATTTCAATGGCTAAACATAAACTTATAGATCGAGTGATCTGTTTCCATAAACTATGTAAATGTTTCCTTAATTTGAGTTTGCATACTCCCTTGTGCTAATGCACTATAAAAGTAACCTAGACAGCTCTCAAATGGAAAGAGAGGGCAATTTATACATACCTTCGTTAATTTGAAAACGCGCCATACCTGCATCATGCTCTCTTTCTTAATTGTTCTAAAAGTCGAGATCACTGTAATTCAATTGTTAATCCTGGCATATAAGAATTGTTTGTTTTTCTGTTAATTAAAGTAAGAATCAAAGATGAGGGAGCATGCTCGGAGATGTTCATCCCAAGCTCTCTCAATCTCTACTTTGCCAAGTTGGTGATGATGTCCCAAGATGCATTCACTCATCCATTCATTCAATCAGGGTTGTCCCATAAAATATTAATTCTAATCCGCATTAGAAGTGCATCTTTTTGTGTCTGATGCAATAAGAGTCTTTATTAAGTCAAGATTGAGTGCTTGTGATAAAAATTGTTATTATGTTTATAATTATGTAACTTTGGTCTTAAAACAGATTTTGCTATGGCTGCAAAACTTGGACATTAAAGTAAAAAGCACAAAGAATTCAGATCAAATACAACCCGTGAGAACTGAAGTCAATTCAATGATCCATTCCAGTATACTTTGTAGGTAAGAATTATGCAGCTGCCTTTACGTGTCTGGGATTGTGGTAAGATAGCACAATTTTGTATGGTAGAGCTTCCCGAAAGCAGACACCCTTTGAATGAGAAAGGATCTCTGCGTAGGAGGTTATAGGTGTAATGTTTGTAACTGGCTGGCTTTATAAACCACATAATATAGCTATATCAACTTGACTAATTTTTGCCCCAGAAGTATGAATTTAAGCATTATTTAAAGTTTTACTGAAGCAGTATAGAAAAAGTTATCAAAACCTGTTCCATTCAGTGAATTACATCATTTTGCACCAAGGAAACCTGAATCACAAGGGAATTATATAGCAAATTAATCTTTCTAACAAGTAAATTATCTACTGGTGGATGAATTATCCGTTATTGATTATTTCTGTTGTTTTGTATTTCAGAGTACAGGAAAACATAGTGGCTCTAAAAAGGGGAACCACAAAGAGGAAGCCACTGCAGCTAGCTAAATGCAAGAACTAACTTTGCTTTTTAAAATTTTATTTCTACTTTAATTCTGTTTTCTATTGCTTATGAAAAGTTTGTATCCTATCATTTCTATGTAAACTGAAAGTACTTGTTGTCATTTCCTTTGGATTCAGATTGAAGACTGAAGTAAATTAATGGCATTGTTTAAAACTTGGTCTTTCCTGAGTGACAAATTTATTTAATATCATGTAATGCATCCAATCTAGTCTAGATAGAGGTTGTTGCATAAATATATGAAGTATTGATCACTAAATCATTTGCAATAGGAAAATTGCTACAACTTAAAACACAAAAGTGGTAATCCTAGGCTAAGGATTGGTATATGCTTTTTTGATGGTAACCTACTTTCAACCTATTTGATAGCCACCTTATTCTGGATCCATACACTGGCAGTGCTATTTTAAACCCTTTTACCTTGTATGACATATACATTAGGCCCTATTTTAAACCTATTTTAAATGTATTTATATCCTATTTTTCGAGATTTTTTTCCTATTTTATCCATATGTTTAATGTCTATTTTATCCCAGTTTTGTCAATCTTATTCCTGTTTTATGTCTATTTTATAGGTATTTGATTCCCATTTTTCAAGTTTTTTCCTCCATTATTCCTATGTTATGTATGTTTTAAAACTATTTTATATTTATTTAAACCTATTTTAAATGTATTTACATCCTATTTTTGTTTTTTTTTCTATTTTATCCCTGTTTTATGTCTATGTTATTTTATAACTAATGTTTCATTAATGCTATCTTAATCCTATTTTATCAATAAATTGCATGCATATTTTCTCTATTTTAAAGCTATTTTTATAGTAGTTATGACTTGCCAACCAGACTATTTTTTTACTATGTTTTGTTTTAAAATAATAGGTTTAAAATAGTTAAAAAACAGCTTTCAAATAGTCCGGAAAAATAGAGAAGAAATACACAAAAAGTAGGGAGAAAATAGTTTAAAAAATAGATATAAAATAGGCACTTTTTTCTTAAGGGTAGTGAATTAAATTGGAATCTGTAATCTGCAAAAAAGAAATCTGTAATTTGTGAAATAGGATTGTGTAAATTATGGAAAAAGATTCTTTTGGGAAAACTCCACAGGCTGGCAGATGATTTGGTCAGTTTACCACAAGTGTGCAGGATTGCAAACACATAATAATAACTAGTGAAAGTGAGAAATGAAAAATCTGCAAAGTGTTCTTTGTGAACTCACTTCGTCAGTGAATGACTGTTAAAGAAGAGTTTTGCCATTAATTCATAATGAGCCAAATTTGCTCCTTATGGATTAATGGTGCAACTTTTCTCAATGAAATTTGAATCATATTAGCTAGCGCTGTAGCTGACTACTGTATGTAAGGTGTAAGCAATGTATACTGTCAGTGAATAATTAGAGTGCTTGACGTTCACTTTTCTGTCAAAACATACTTGTGGAAAATGTTGCAGCATGTTTTTAGATTAAACATCATGTTTGCTGGGGAAAAATAACCTTTAGTTTGGAGGAAACAAAGACAACTTTTAGATGCTAAAAAGAACAACGGATTTTTTTATTTTTCTTGGATCGTTATATTTATTATTTGAAATGCAGTTTAACTAACTGGTTACTCTGTCTTAAGCCCTTTTTTGCCGAAAGTTTAAAGTGAAACAACTTAGGAAATTCCCTACTAGAATTCTGCAAGCTGCTGGGCAAGAAGGAAAAGTTGGTGTGTTTTTGCTTCAAGAAAATTGTAGTGACAAACTAACTGCGGAGTGGATAATTTTCGTTTAGAAATTTATTGGTAATTTTATTTAAAAAAACACATCAGAACAAAAACCACTTGCAAAGTGAATGACTTTGTATACTTAAGATTTCACTTTTTATGGCAAATTTGTTTGCTGTCGGCAATTTCAGCTTTCATTTAGTAGTTTTTGTCAGGTTTATGCAACTGGACTGAACTGCAGGTAAATTAATTAAAGAAGATAAGAGTGATCTTCACAGAGATGAAGTGTAGTGAAGTCTGCAGATCAGATAGGTGAAATTCACAGGGATAATCATCTATTACCTAGCAGATTAATTATGAACCAGTATCGCAAAGAGCACTTGTTTGCAGAGGTCCCTAGCTGGCTGAGTTTTTTTCAGGCTTTACCTAATCACTACTGCTTTTAATTTGTGGTGTTCATCACTGTAAAGATCACTCTTATCTGTATCAAATTAGTCATCTTTAGTGGAATGTTGAAAAGAATGTATCAATTGAGATTTTTAAATAGTTTCTTCACAAATGCTTTGTAACTGTTTATTGTTAACAAATTCGAAGTTAAATAACGTTGTTGTTCGTTTGTTGTTTGTCTTTGTTTTCCTTGTACTTAGGTGGTGGTCAAAATCAGCAGCACATGCCTTTATACAGAGATGAGCATGGGACCCTGTTGAGTCAACAAGCACAGCCTACGATTCACTTGGGTCAGCCAGACATCGAGGGTGGTTCCTCCATAGTCGATCGGTCAACAGAGAAAGAGAATAAGTCGCTGGAAAGCCATCTTCATTCCGCGAATTCCCCATCAACTTCCCAGTGGCCGACAACCTCAGTTTCTACGAGAGACAGTGGTCTGCCCTGGCAGGCTGGCGCCTCCAACTTTACGAAGACAGAAACGCCGGGTTCAGAGGATAAACCAGGTATTACAGAGCCAACAGCAGAACTGCATGGGAGGCAGCCGGACGTTGTCGATAAAATGGCATTAAGGGAACTATCTACAGGAAGAAATGACAGCCAAGTCACCATGAAAGATAAAATTCCTCTTGGCGAAAGCGTGAGAAGCTCAGCAGTACTTAAAGAGGGAGACGTTGATGCTGTTCAGACAGGAAGTGATGATGGATTAAATAACACAAAGAAAGATGACATGGAGTCAAAGAAATCATCAAATGATGGCCAGGTGACTCCGGCCAGCCATAAACAAAAGGGTAACGAGAGGGAAATAGATGAGAAGGCTGACAGGAACGTCACTGCAAATTTTCAACAACCCAAGGTGCAAAGCCCTTTGAATTCAACATCTCAAAAAGGCACTGGAAAAAAACTCGCTGAGGTAGGGAATGTCTCACTGTTTACTGTGCTCGCTCTACGATAGTAAAGAACACGTTTTTCCCGGGGTTGTGGAACCCTGTCGATTACACTGCAGTTTCTCTAGAAGGATCAACTCTCATTTAAGAATTCGGATTACTATTTTTTATACCAGATTGGCTGAAGAAAAATGATCGTTTTACTGCACGACTAAAACTCGTTATGCTACTTTATCTAATAATGTGTAGGTGCAAGAAAAAAAAGATGCAAAGGCTTCAGGTGAACACTCTCAGACCTCCAAGAGCGGAACTGAAAATCTGAATGGTGGAAGAGTCGAGACCGTCACTCACGTCAATTCACCATCGGAAGGAAAAGAAATTGTCTTAAGAGACCCTCTTGGAGGCGCACAGAACGTAGGCGATGGCAAAGAAAGTGCTCAGGTTAAGCTAATTCAGTGAGGTTACCTTAAAGAGAATTATCTTGGGAAGAAAAGGACAGATATGGACTTCTTTCTATTACTGTTACATTAATGACATTTGTCAAAAAGTATCGACTGAATGAATAAGATAATCCAGGCCCTCCTCCTCTCTAAGGACGGAGACTGTAAATTGCTCTTACTGTTTCTTGCAGTTCCGCGTGGCGGTATTGGCTCCAGAAATTCTGGATTATCTTGTAACAACTATGGAAATCTGTTGGCATCTTGGAATAGATAATTTCCGCGTACAAATAGTCGTGTACATTTTCGCGCCAAATAGAGGCTATTGTTTATATATCTTTCAACGGCTGTGAACACCAGTATTGGCATGTATACATTATTGTGCTTGTCATAACTGTTTGATGTCATTTCTTTTGCCAGACCACAGAGGAGGCAAGGTCTGGATATTGGTACCGAAAGGATAAGACTCATCCGCAAGAAAATAACACCGAAATCCATAAAAAGGACAAGGGAAAGAGAAAAGAAGAAAAAATCAGCACGGCCAGCAATCCACTTTCAAAGTAAACTACAAATGTGCTTGGATAAGATGTGTAACTCGTCAAAAACTGTCTCAGAAATACTTTGGTCTACGTGCCTGGCTTATAGGGGGAGAGGGATAGATAAGAATAGGCATCTTATTTACCTTTTTCTAGCCTGAAGGCCCAATTACTAATTAACGGACTTCTTTTTACAGAACCTCTTCACCACGAGTTTATTTTCTGAAGCAGGTGGAACCAGAAGTTGGGGTCACGGTGGTGTTCCATGTTTTGTTGGTGGCTAATTTTAAAATGGAGGAAGAGAGTTTGCACATTCGGGCTAACGGAGAAGACTTAGGAAACTTTCAGTTAAACTGCGTCGACATGGAATTAGTAAGGTTTGTCTGTTAATTTTTATATGATCAGGTGATATCCTCTGAACATTACTCAGACCTTAAAAAACATAAGCGTCAGGATAATTCCAAGTAGGCGCAAGCAACTGACGCTTGTGTCAACCTTTTAATTTGAAGCATACTTAAGTAGTCAAATTTGCTCTTCTCTTTAGTGTGTGCACCAGTTCCAGTTCCAGTATGACCCTCAAATTATCACTTTTATTACTCTGGCATTATTCAATTGTTCAATCGATGCTTCGACATGGGCTTTCGCTTACGTTCTCCTTTTCGCTTCTTCAAGATGTCACTATTACTTAACATTTTGATTTGTTCCAGTATGTAATGCCATTATTTTATACGTAACCCCCACAAACTATGAGACATTCAGCAACTTCGAGGTGTTCATTCAGGGGTCCATTTGGTGTGGTTGCCTTGATTTAGCAAATCGCATCTTCTTTGTCGTCACAGTGCTGGGATAACATCAGACAAGGCTAATGTGTTTTAGATATTGGACTCTGATCACATTTCTGAGACTGCCTTTCTCGGTATGTGTAGGATATTGGGTGCCTGTCACTCTAAACTTAGTCGAGTGATCCCCCGCTTCTTTAATTTAACTGAAATCAACATATCAAGATCCATTCCTTTGCAAAGGACAAAATAAACCTTTACTGGTAAAGAGTTTGCTTCATCTTAGCATTACATCCATAATAGCATCTTGATCACAACTTACTGATTTTTATGATTACCGTAATGTGAATGTTTAAAATTCCTTTGATTTCCATTTTTTATCAGCTCCTGATAAAATGAAAATTAACAGAATAAAGGAAAGGTTTTACAAATTTACTAATTTGGTTGGACGGCTGATAACATCGACTGGGTTCTCTATACAAGGTCGTAGCACCCATGTACTACTGGAAATTGAAGGTGTATTTCAGTATCAGTGCGTAAAGTTTAGAGGTTCGTCCTCTAATTCTATAGGTGGGACAAAGACAAAGACAAAAAAAGGCTTATGCACTTTACTGGCCAGTTCACTCTTACGGTCAGTCGTGCCCAAAAAGGAACCAGTTACAAGTACGTGATAGTCAAGAAAGGAAGCGTTCTATGGGAAGAGCTGGTGGAGTTTCAACCACGCTATCGTGAAGACATAATGAATCGATTTCTTAACATTCCCTCCAAACATTTGAAACAGGGAGGTGAGATATTAGTATGATTCCTTGTTTTTTTTTGTCCAGTTGAACTTTCACTACACTCACGCCCTTCTTTCTACCAGGGTCAGCTCCCGACGACGTGCCGCCCTCTTTAGTTTGTCTCGGTGGTCAGTCCGTACTCCACACCAACCACTTTCTTCTGTTCTTACTGTGACCGCTGTGAAAGAGTCGACTGTACGAGCCCCTTGATATCAAATGATTATTATAGTGTGTCTGTTTGTCAATAAGCTAGTATTTCGTATCGTTGTAGACAAATAACTCAAGGGTGTCGGTCATGCGTGCGGTCTGTAACTGGAACCACCTTTTGAAGTTTGACTGTGGGACCAGTAACTTAGATTTGAAGACTCTACGTAGGCTGAAAATAGATAAACGGTTACCCTTTCTCAATGCTTTAATGACTGAGCGATTGATCCAACATCGTAATCAGAGGCTGAAATGAATAAAGGGGGTAAGTTTCTTAAGAAACTGTTGCTGCGTCGGTGGGGGTTAACAAGGTAATTTGGTTATATCAACTAAGGTGATAATATAAATTGGCCACCGTAACGAGTTTAAAAGCTGACGTTTCAAGCGTTAGCCCTTCGTCAGAGCGAATGGAGGAGTTGTGGGTTGCGTGTGTGTTTATATGCGAAAAGTGGAGCTACGCTATTGTTGGGAAGTTGGTGACCAGAAAAAACAAGAATAAATTAGTAGAATGAAAAGCGTTCGTTGATGCCTATGGGATTAAAGGTGCCGATTTGAAAGATAAACGTTTGTTCAATAGTTTTACGGCTTTCTGAGCTACCTAAATGTAAAGAAAGGCCGCAGACTGTCATATGCTGCTAAGAATGATTGGGTAGATTAAAGTGTCTAGCGACTGGTTTGGATGCGTCTATGTCAATCCTTTCTACGTCGTGAAGGTGTTCTCGGAATAGTTCTCGGAATTATATTCTCGGAATAGTTCACCTAGTCTTACCGTTTTGCCAATGCATATCTATTTGCAATAAGTGCAAGTTATGCAACAGATGACATTGGCGAAGGTGCATGTGAAGTGATCAGTAATCTTAATGGATCGTTTGGGTCCCGATCTATTCTCAACGTTGTGAATGAAAGGACAAGTATTTCATCGTGCGCGAGCGCATTTAAAAGTTCCGGGTTGGTCATTAGTTTGAAGTGAACTTCTGAACAAAAAGGTGCCCATGTTTTTGTTGCGTTTGAATGAAATCAGTGGAGGTTGCGAAAAGATAGTGCCAGTCTCTGGATCGTTTAGAAGTAAGGTAAAGTTTGAAGAATAATGGATCTAACTGCGTAGGTGTGAGGGTGAAATGTGAGAGTGAATGGAATGCGGTCGGAATTTTCCTTATGTGACGTTTGTAGTGTTGACTGTCGATAAATAAGTTGGGTGCGGTGGTTACCTGCTTGAACTAAAGGAACATGGTAAATCTAAATTAAGAGGCTGAAATGGATGAACACTTTTTTCTACGGATTTTTTATGGTTATAATAGTAACTCTGTAGTAATTTCCTTAGCTCCTTCATCAAAAGTATTAAATGTGATGTATTTCAACTTTTATTTTGGTGGTTAAGAAACGTGGCACCAATTTGACGGAGTCAGTTACATTTCTTCGGATAAAGGTTGGTGGGATACAGTTAAAGGATGGTTTCGTAGTGACGAAACAGTGGCAAATCGCACAACAGCATTACTCGCGTACATACCAAATTGGAAGGGTTTTCATGTTGGCAACGCTGGGGAAGAAATGAAAGCAACAGAAGCAATTGTGAAGTTAGACAAAGTGGTAGACTGTATGACCAACGTGTGGGTTAAGCACTCTTACTCCGTCCCTGAAAAGAAGAGACCAACAGATTTCAAAGCTCACACGGTAAAGTGTTTAGAGAGTAAAATCCATATCTTACAACTTATGTCATTTTTTGTTCCTCTGGTTACCCTTAAAGTCCCAAACATTCAGTATTTTAGTGCACGTGTTTGGAGAACTGTGATGTGGAGTGATTGAGCGAGAATGAAGTTGAGGACGGATAAGGATGATTGAAACTTCATTTGAGAAAGGAGAACTGACTTGGAAAACATCGAAGGAATAGTGTAATTGATTAACGGATAATGTGGTTGAAGTTATCATTTTCTCGCTCTTTTTTTTTAACGAAGGTATTGGTGGACCTCTTGCAACCTAAAATAAAGGAAAACGCTGCAACTGTGACCAAAAGTTCTGTGCAATTTGAAGCTAGAGCCTCAGCATTGGTTTCGTCTCTAGCGATTCTTCTGATCTTCAAACATTTCAAAGTAAAGCTAGAAAGGGAATATGTTATTTCACTTTTGAAGTGCTTGAAGCTTGAAGCAGATCCCATCGACCAAAAGTGTACCTTGTATGAAGTGGTTCTGAGCGAATTCAGTGAGGGACTAAGAGAGTAAGTAGTTTCCGTACTATAGAAACAGAACCAACCACTAAAACACTGAACATAATTGTTAAATGAGTAAAAGCGTAGCCACTACACTTATAATGTGCTAACCCAGATGTGACATTTGGTGGTTTATCTGTCTGTCCGTCAGTGCTCTTTCGTAACCATATTACACAACGTATTTAAAATGGAGCACTTTTATTTTCCATAAAGATTTTAAGGTTCCAGATTTAGTAAACCATAGAGGACGAAGGATACTCAGTTTTCAAGGTTTTGCAGTCATAAGTTACGATAAGTTACTGACCAATCGTACCGCACATAGAATCTCATTCAATGTGTAATACACAGCAATGAAAACAAATGCTGATAAGGATCCTGAACATGGTCTGGGTGCAATTTTTAGTCGTGTGCGGGCTATATCGCCGTATAAATTGTTCTTTTGAAATGGCTTGGTAGGTAGGTGACTTAGCTGAAGGATGGAGTAGAAATTTGGCAGGGTTTTTTGGCACTTATGAAGAGAATAAACACGCGTGTAGATATCCTTTCGAAGCAGCTACTGAACACTGTGAATGAAGGCTGCTGTAGCAGGAGAAAACAACAGATAAATGGTAACCTCTTCATGTGTAATCATTTAAATTAACAGATGGAGAGAAGGGTTGAAATTAAAGCATTCGTTTAGATCGGTAACTTTTTATGATGGTGTGAACGTTAATGAGAATTACCAGTTGCTTTAAGGAACACTGACTATTTTCATGAGGAAAAAAAGTACGATAAAAGTAACAACAAACTGACTGAACACAGACGGGCGACGAGGAAAGGTGATGTCAGCAATCACATTGCTGAACACCATCGACTTACCAACCACAACATTGACTGGGACTCTGCCCAATGCCTAACCTACAGCACTGACTATTTTCAACGACTGACTCTGGAAAGCTGGTTTACTAACTTAGAACAGACTCCCCTAAACAGATGTCAACAACTACCCGCTCCATACAAACGACTCATTCACGACATAAACATCACAAACGACCGAAAAAGAACGACCTAACTTTACCGACAGATCGAAACAGACCAATCACGACCGACTTACGTCACTTGAGTCTTACAGCCAATAACATCACGGCAAAACCAACCGATCATTTCACACGAACTGGAATAAGAACATTCTACTGACAACAATCATTCACTTGACTCTGATGATGACTTCCGCACAGGTTGTCGAAACGTCATTCACTACCACCGACAACAGTCCTTCTCAGGACTACACTCACCCGGACGATCAGACTACACTTTCACATGTTACCCCCGGGTTCAAGCCATTTACTGCAAAAGTAACAATGTTGATAATATTTAATGAAAGTGATAATGAAAATGATATCAAGGCGCAAGGTGATACCCTTCGACTATTTCGTTCTTTTTAAGATCTGCTGCTATTGGAATTGAGCAATTATGCAACGAAATCATGGAGGAATACTGGAAACAAGATGCACTAACGTGGCTATTGGCTGTACCATTGCTGCATTTCTTAAGAGAAGATTCTAAACCTTTCGAAAAACCTGGTGTTGATGGATCGTACAGCAAATTAGAGTGGGCGGGAGCTCAGGGACTGAGAATAAGAGAATTGCAAAGATCATTAGTACAACTGTAAGTGAAATATGGTGAAAATCAACTGGGCGTTTGAACTCTGTGTGTTTACTGGATACATAGCAAATCTATTAGCAACATCATTCTAAATTTAACTCAGGCATAATTTAATCGTGGGTTGGTTTGAAGAATTCTCCCCTTCATGTTTGGTTAACTTAAACTCATCAAATTGCGAACTTCCGTATTGTGGAGTAGAAGTGTAAACGGAATACTATTCACCTACTGGTCCCCTAGATGCAGCATGTATAGAATTTTCTTCCTTTAGACCCCCAGTGCTTTTTTGCAAGAGTAGCCCTCTCATGAAATGCTCTCGTGAAAAGAAATTACAATTTCCCGATCTAAATTGAGCAAACGATTTGTAATTATAAAACTAAAAATTTATGCAGAAAACTACTTACAATTATTATTTACAATTTATTATTTATATAGCGCATGGTCCATAGGAAGATGCTTCCAAGCGCTTTACAACGTTAACTCACCCGTCCCAACCCAGGGGAGGACATCCATCACACAGTAATCTCGTGTGTGGGAAATTAACGTCTCCTACCCCTAACCCTGCAGGAGACGGGTTCTCCATTTATTCGTCCCTATCCGAGAAGACTAGACTATCTAACTAGGTTACTTATAAAGTGAATCATGTATAACTGTGCAACAAAGAACATCACATTTGAATCTAACAGTCTGATTTTGAATTCCATACAGAAATCCATTGGACATCTTGCCTATGCTTACTTCTTCCTTTGAAGTAGACTTTCTGCTGAAAAGAACCGTCCTCCACACCATTCCTGTATGGGAACTAGATAAGATCGTTGCTTCGAAGATGTTTCTAATCCCTGATATTTGCGTTGCCTTGGTAACATACTGCTCCCGTGAAACTGTGCCTGGTGACAAGGTAAGGAAGTTTTCAAATTATGTCAATAGTATTCTCATACTGTGGTGTTTACACAGCAATTCTGACCAAGGACATTTAGTTATTCAAAAAAGTGCTTCTGCGTTAAAAAACAGTTTTCTTTTCCTTTCCGCAGTGGAAAAATGTACTCCAGTGTATTAGATTGATGATTTCTCAGATAAACTGGGAAAAAGAATCAACATGGTAGGTTTCTACTTTCAATGAAATTATACCAGTAACTCATCAACCTTTCATATATAATTACCGCCGACTAAAAGTTCAACCAGCCTTTATCTATTTGATTTTAGCAAAAATAGCGAACTCCCGAGGTACGGAGCGGATCTTGCTTGAAGCGGATAAGAACTTTTAACTTCTGAATATGATATTATGCTTTTCACTCTTTAAGAGATTGAACTGGACCTTTTTATCAATTTCACAGCACTGAACTTAAAGGAAACGAGTTCACAATTTCAATATGTCTACAGCTGGTTGAAGTCTTCTTCAAGAAGCTGAACTTTATGGACCACATTGAAGTCATCTGCCAGACAATGAAGCTGCTTTTTGCATGTATTTATGCGCAGCGAATGGAATTCGAAGAGAAGCTTGACAAGGAGAAGAGCCGGGAAAACGAGAGCAAAATCATCAACAAACTGCTAAAGAGCCTTGGAGACAGGTTGTCAATAGATCTCAATAAAGAGATGTCCTCTTTTTACAAGAGCAAAAATTTAGCCAGGGAACTTTCGGTATGTAGAAAACAAGAGAATTGGTATGAGAATGGCTTGGTTATATTTTTCAAACTGCTCTTTTAAATTCCTTTTGGTCATGTTCTAATTCATTGAGGAGACGTAATCCACGTGGTGTGCTTGAAATGTTTCCTTTTTTTTTTTGTTCCAGTTGTGGAGCGAATTGCTTTGGGTCGCGGATGAAAATCAGGGATTTACTGCTTATAGGGAGTTTTTGATCAACAGGCTGGTGAACCGAGCAAAAAGGGTAAGATGGTGACGTTTTTCGAAACTATCTGGCTTAGGAAATAGGCAATAGAGAGGGTTAACAGTAGAAGCATGGACTTAAACTCACTGCTTACACTAATTGCACTTTGGTAAAGCCTGGGATGTTTTTGTGAGTGGCAAGCCCCTAATCCGTGAAATAGGATTAAGTTCTTGCCCTTGTCTTACGTCTTGGATGTGTGAACTTATAGTGTACCCCTGTTAATGAAAACCGTTATGACTACTGATCCTAGTAGGATTTAGTATGCTTTTCACTTACGGTCTATGTGAATAGCCCACTTCGGAAGCGAGTTCTCTATGGCATTCCACCTCGAATTTAGAAATTGTTTGAGTTCATATTCGCCAAGGGGAATTTATTTAACGCTTTTGGCAATATTCACATCTTTTCTTCACGTCATCGATTGTTTGGTTTTTTTTCCTAGCTGGAGGAAAAATTCTTGATTGAAATTTTTTGTGAAGTGAATATGGATGCTCTTGAAAGAGGTGTTGGAGAATCATTTACTAAGCTTGCCTTTCAAGCGGTGGAAAAGATTATTAATGTGAGTTAATGACGACGTTTGTTAACGTAATGGTTTATACTGTGGTCCACAAACACCTCGGTTTATTAAGGTCGCAATAAAGATCTAATGGCTTAAAAGACCTAAAACAATTTAGACTACAATGAATATATGAAGGTCATATATATATATATAAAAAAAAGTATGAACTTCATATATTCATTGTATCTGATTTATCATCACGGGTTTATTACGAATCAGCGTAACGGCCTGCTCCCAGTTGGCTTGTTAGCTCAATTGGTAGAGCGCTGCACTAGTATCGCAGAGGTCAGTGGTTTGAATCCCGTACAGGCCTGATTTTTTTCAGGTCTGATTTTCGCTATTGCATAAATAGCGCTCTCTACTGCGAGGATCGTGCATCATACGTACAATTTAGACTGTTTATGTTGTATGAAAGTTTCCTCAGAGTAATAATTTAGAGCTAGATGACCTTGCTGCTTACCCAGTTTCAGTCATTTCTTTCATCATAATTGTTGATTTTCTATTTTTGTGAGCGTATACTACGTAAGGAATTCAACCAGACAAAACTGAAGACTGATACACAAACAAAAAGACGCTACTGAGAAGTTTGGAACTCTATCAAGTTAGACTATCACAATGATGAATTTAAGGATGGACTGAAATTCGGCAATTAGTCACCATTAATGGTGAATTTCCTTAATTTAGACCTAATTTTTGCTGATTACGCACCTTATGTTGATTAATAATCCGATGATTTTCTTTTTTTATTTAGTCAGCAAAAAGAGGAGACGACATACGTATATTTCACAATCTATCAAATTCAAAAGCAGGAAAATCCGGCGAGCTTCTGTCCATGTTTCTGACAAAGTCTTGGCCAAAAGATGGAGAACATTCAGACGCGTGTGGGTTGGATCCTCGAACAGTGGAGTTTGTACTCACTTGGAATCCAATGATTGGATACCTCAAATTCTTCAATAATCCTAAAGTTTTGGGTAAGAGTATTTTTTTGCTGAAAACATTGATCGAAAACATTTATCTCACTTCTCACGGGGACGCGAGAAGTAGGTTTAGAGTTTAAAAATATTTTTATTTCAAAATTTTAAAATTTTACTCTATATTAAATTTGCATTACTTTGTTGCCTTGTTAATTGGAGGGAATTTTAATTTTTTCTGTCTATCAGGCGATGAGACTGGAAGAGGTGGTATACTTTCGGATGATGCCAAGGAGACGTTATTTTTGGCTAAATCGTTGCTGGACGCTCTTGTGAGAGTCATATCAGATGGCTCAGTGACGGTTCAAGTGTTACTTCTTCTACAGAGGCGTAAAGAAACGTTTTTGGAACTTTTGAAGACAAGTTCTGTGGAGAACAAAGACGTTGAGCTTAGCCTGGCTCGTAGATTAGAAGAGATCCAGGAATTTTTCGAAGTGAAAGAAAAAGTAGGGGTATTCATTGGAATGTGTGACGCGATTCAGCCAGGTAAGAGATTTAGAGACACCACTGTGAGCTTTGCAATTTTTTTCGCTTTCATTTCCGTACACCATCTGTTTGTCTTCAACCCAGCGTCCAGGAGATTGCCCCTAGAATCTGTTTTAGCGTTGTTAGCAAGAGGGTAACGGACTAGAAAAGGGAAAGAATAAGGAAAAGCTTTCAGTGGATTAGTGTTTGTCTTTAAATTTATCAGGTGTGATGTTGACAGGGTCTAAAGCAATCTTCTTCTCCACAGTCGATTTAACCAACCTCAAGAATAAGGTGCCTCAGGATGTTTCTCACTTCCAGATTCAAGCCTTGTGCAAACGGAAAGACGACAACCAAATCGAAGTCACCTTCTTTAAACTCCCTCCGGCTCTCAAGGAGGTTCTTTCGACACTTGAAAGAGTTCAAGAGAGCCTAACGTTCCAAGCTCTTTGGAAAAAATGTGGGAATAAAGCACAAACAACCAGGAAGAATGACGATACACGAAAACCACAGCTCAGGATTTCCGATGTTGTTGAAAGTGTCTGGAAACCAGCTTTTACCAGTTGGACGCAAAATGTTGCTAGTGTCAAGGATGGTACAATTTCTCTTGGAGATGTTGACAAGATCTTTGACGGCTACAGAAACCGCAAAAAGGAACTCGAGGGAGAGTTATCCTGCATGTTTAACGTGAACACCAGCGAAACTGTCAACGCCAGAGAATTGAAGAAAATTGTCGGAGAGCGACTTGCTCAAATTCACCGTTACCAACAACTTGATCAGTACTCCAGTGCAGCTGACACCATCTGGGAGTTTAAGGAGGCAATGGGTTTTACCGGGGACTTCAAAGTTGTCGAAGATCTACGAAATCAGGTATCATAGTCCTTATTCTGTATTGACGATACTGAGTAAGTTTGAAGAGTAAACACAAGTAATTGAATTATAATGGGATGCGGTTATTCATCATGGTGAATACATATGTGGTGAAGTATATTCGTTTGTCTTACAATGTGGGCATTGCCGATCATGGGCTGGAACGTCTTTTTTCAGGCGGTGGAACTACCAGTCTTATTTGAGCGGCTGAAGAAGACCAGAGGAGGCAGTCGAAATGTCGCAAACCACATCGAAAGTGACTACATCGTGACAAAGAGATTGCACTTCACTGCAAACGAATATCCGTCCATGACGATTAGATAGATCTTAGCCCAAACTGAGCAAACTTTGTTTATCTGTGTTAAAGGCGTTAACTTTGATTCAAGGAAATCATTTCGGAGAATCTGTAACATGGGTGTATTTTCGTGTAAGCACAAATGCTTTGCGAAGAAAAGCCATTGGGTGCAAACGAGAAGTGCACCTAAGTTAAATATGTGATAAAAACTTTATCCATTTTCCGATTTTTGGTTCTATAGTTATCAGTGGAGTTCAAGCAGAAGCCCTTGAACAGCGTAGGGGAAAGCTTTTCAAAGGCTGGTCAAGCTCTTCGGTGTTTGGATTTCAATAAGGCTCAGTGCTTCAAAGCAGTGGTGGACAGTAGACGGTTGGTGGAGTGGCTACGTTCTACTATCAAATGTAAGTTGGGGAGGCAGGAGGAGGTCGAGCGGATGTACAGTATAAAAACGAAAACACCAGACGTAAAGCTCTTAACCTCCCTAATCCCTCGTAGTTCCCCTTATTTTGTTAGCTTGCCTAACCACTCAAGTGAATATTGCTTTTTACTCGCACTAATTGGTTTGGTCTGAGGTGATTAGCCAAATTATATTCACTCCCAACCACCCAACCAGAAAGCTTCAGTTTCGGCGAGGAGAAATGCTTTAATTGATCGAGGAAGCCATGCCAAGAACACAAAAATGGTAAAAAATTGGCTGACGTGATTTATCAGTAAATTAAGCGGTACGGTTTTATGGAAATTGTGGGGCTGTGTTGGTAGGGGAGTAAAACACGAAAAATTTGGTTTATTCAACAGAGTTGATAATGTAAATGGCAAACGTAAAGAGTTTCAAAGCTGACGTTTCGAGCGTTAAGCCTTCGTCATTCGCATTGACGAAAGGCCAACGCTTGAATCGTAAGTTTTAAATTAAGCGCCTGCAAGGGTTTTATGTTTTCGCTGTAAAGTTTGGCGAAACTCTCTGCAATAAGAAATCTCTTACCTCTACTCGGACAGCACTTGCTCGCGCGTATGCATTACACGGTGTGCGAAAGTTTGATCTTTCCGAGCGTTGGAAAGAGATAAAGTAATATTTTTTTGCTTGCAAGGTATTCAGCTGGTAAGGTGTATATTTAAGTAATTACTCACCTCGGTGTTGCTTTGTAGAGAATAATGAACGCCATTAAGTGTTTTTCGTTTTACAGCCACCCAAGAGCTAAAGGTTCTTGTTGACTTGGCCTTGATCTCTGCTGGTGAAAGTGATATGGAAACTGACCGCATATCCAGTCTACATACCAGCTGTCTCGGTTTTGCTCCTCTGATATTTGACCTCAAAGAGAGCGAAGAACAAAGAGTAAGCTTTGTTCAACTGATGAACGCCTGTGATCCTGTATGGAAAGCAGTCGAGACGGATAAGATGTTACCCGAAAAACTGGTAAAAAAATTATGGGATTTCTTACATGCGTTAAATGCTTTGAATGCTTTTTTTTCCAGACATCTTGTTTTCCTTTACCTCTTCAACTTCGACAAAACGTGTTTCACCAAATTTGGAATGCTCTGATCTGCTTTACTGTCTTAAAATCGAGTATTAAGTTGTATACGTACTGTCTATTGTTTTTAACTCATTGTCATGCACGACAGCAAACAAAAGGAAAGTGGCAGAATTAAAGAAGGAGGCCGGAGGGCCTGTCCCCCGCTTATTTTGGGTAAAAAAAATAGACGCATAAGGGAAAGAAGTAGGTGGGTGAACACACGCAAACAAAAAGCCCCCCCCCCCCCCAGCTCAAGGTCTGGATCCGCCACTGCTAAGTAAGTGGTTATGATCCCCGACTCCTTTACTTTTCGTAGAAAGACACTAGTAGACATCTGGAATGGCTAAAAACTGTTAAAGAGTCCCACGGTTCGGTTGCTATGACATCATTAGTGCAGGCCAAGACCATCAACTCCAGTGGGGTATATGTTGTTGGTCACTTGGACACCAAAAAGGGTCCGTCACCAGAACAAGGAAAACGATTGTCATTCAAAGATGTGATCCAACTGACGCTTCCCCTTAAGAATGGACGTGAAAAGGAGCAGAAGAAAACTTACTCTATTGACGAACTAAAGGATTTGCAGAGTAAACTGATGTTGATCGCAGGAAAGGCTGAAAAAGGGAAGGATGACGTGGAACAGTTTGTGAGGGTAAGTTGAAGTAAAATGTGGATAGTTATGTGTCGAAGTTGTCGTTACTTCTGACAGAGTAAAGACTTTTCTCTTTAATTATAGAATCTTGAAGGTGTAATGCGTTTAGCGACTGCGTACATCAGTCTCTTTGAATGTGGTTACATTCATCGCATGGATTGGAAACAAGAGTTTCACTGTAGCAAAGACCAAGTCGCGGGCGAATCTATTGCGGAGGATCTGGAAAAGGAAAGCTCCTTCATGGAAAGGTGTTACATGAACTGGAAGAAGAGGGTCAGTGATGCAAGGAAGGAGTATAGAGAATTGAATCTATTCACAACACAGCAGTTGATGATATTGAGGAAGGAAATTGCCACAGTTTGCCACAGCAACGACCTTACTATGGGCAACACCCAAGTTCTCACTCTGCTGGAAAGTGTTCGTCCCTATTTAACCAGCAAGCAGTTAAAATTAGCGATAGAGCGTGCTTTTTAAGGACACGGATTTACTAGAGAACGCTAGAGGCACAGCGCCGCTACCTTCGTTCACTCCAGTTCCATCACAGGACGAAATGGTGACTCGTAGGTCAGTGTTTGACAACAACAACCATCCAGGGACGAGTTCCTTAACAGAAACCAGTAAGAGTCCAGTACAAACTGTTACCGCCAAGAAACCAAAGCCAAGGGAGACATCAAAGATTCAAAGTTTCTTGAATGCAGCAGCAGATGATGGTCATTCGGAGCAGAGTGCGTTGGCTGCTTTGGCGAGTTTGGGTGTTGATGCAGAAGAAGACGACTTGCTGTTATGGTGTCTAGAAGAAGCCGATGAAGCTGATATCGAGGCTCTTTACGACGATGCAAAGCGAAATCCCATGATCGCGGGAGAAGTATTTTCAGATGATGTCGAATCTGTTGAGCAGGAAATGCTAGCTGAAGATTTAGGGTATGTTAGTAATAAGAGCAAAGTTAACTACGATGCAACAGGAAACATAATTGAAGATTACCACAGATTATTTCATCATACTCAATCAACAATATTAAATTTCAAGAAAAGAGCTATTGTCCCTATTTACGTAGGATACCAGTTATAACAGTTGTAATTTGCTGTCTAGAAGAAATAGTTTGACTCTTATGGCGATGCCGTCAACTTATTGGTGTTCGAGATAATGTTTGAAGGCAACGATCAAAGCCTGAAATTTTTATTATATGTCACTTCCCTTAGTGAAAAAGAGACGGAGTCAGACATGGTATTGGAGATGTCATCCTTGCTCGCTGAAACCATTGTTGAGGAGCAGGAGGTTAGCGAAGACGAAGACAACGAGGCAGAGATCAGTCAATATCTAACACTCACTCAGCTTGGGAACATTCTTAGGGAACTTTCGGTCCTAGGTAAAACACTTACTTGTACTTATGGAAAGTCCATAACCGTGATATGAGAATGATCTCGATTGACTGGACCATAAACATTGTATTATTTTCACATTCTCAGGAATTGGTGCTACAGCCCGCATCTTTCCAGGATTCTTGAAGAGTGGAAGACCCAACCTCATGCTTGTTCCGAAAGGTAAGTGAAATAGGATCCCAGGGAGCATCTAATCGATACTAAGTTTGAAATTTTTAATTCCTTATTTCCTTCTGATCCTGCGGCCATTTAATGCTCATGACAGTAAGCTTCCTACATTTGGATTTGTGCTTTTTCTTACCCCCTTTTTGTAGATGACATTCTAGCTACAGTCCTCGCACTGTATATGCACGACAAGAAGCAGCCGTTGCCAACCCATGAAGAGGTGCTGCTGTGCACTCCTGATACTACTACAGAAGAGGTACAGTGTACCTGTCGGAAGAATTTCATCTGTATGCTTTTTAACCGTTCATAAGAAGATGAGCATTTGAGGACCTTAGTTGCGGAAAATACCTTTTCTGGATTCTACCTCTTGTGCATCGAGGAAGTGAGGAAAATTCCCACCCAATGAGTCGGTTATCCTAGCTCATTTGCGTTTTTTCATCTGTCTGTTTTCCTGTGACATAGATCGAGCTGTTATGGAGACGTGCAATAGGGGACGTGGAGGGCCGTTTTTATTGCCTCGTGCATGCAGATGTGTTGGACTTCTCTGTCAGTAAAAAAGCAGTGGATTTGCTTAGCGTAGTGACACAAGGACTTGCTGGCAAGAATGGAGAACGTAAGTTCAACTTAAGCTAAATGACATATTTTGTTTCCAAATGCCAGAACTATGCTCACACGATAGCTTATTGTGCTTTGCCTTGAGAAAAGTGAGTGACTCAATTAATACTTCTGAGATTATGGTCTGGTGGTAATCTGCAGTAGCGAGATTGAAGATCGTGCGAACGTAGTAGCAGCTCTTGATCAGCATCGTGTTGCTGCTCCACCTTGTCCTTCGCCAGAAGAACTGAAGAGTTACCTCAAGCATCAATTTCAAACACCACCTTCTCAGTACGGATTCATCGGTAGTAGTAAGATTACTTGGACGACAGCTGGATCCTTAGACCCAGAAAAGTAAGTTCTTGCTGACTTTCCTACCAATTTTCACAGGGGAGCCTCCATTCAAGAGATAAATTGTCCCCAGGTGACTGAAGAAAAGGCGGTATGAGTATTTTGTTGAATTGCATTGCATTTCTCTTCCATAGCATCGTTGTATTGCTCAAGCTGTATCGTTTGAAATAGCGTTTTTTTTTGCGAGGATTGGTGTAATTAGATAACTGATTTCTTTTAGACTGTGTGTCCGAGTTGTATCATCACACCGAGGAGGTTTGGGAAAGACTCTCTTTGTTCGTCGCTTAACAGAACAGTTGCCTAACCTCGTAAATAACGACATGGTTATGACAAATTTGCGAAGACAAGACTCTAAAACATTCTTGCATGTGACCGTACCACTTCATGGGAATTCCACCGACTCCTCAATGCTTGTTGTTGCGCTTCTTCCACATGCAGTGAAGGCCAATGTACCGCTATCACGTATTTTTCATCTGGACGTGTCACCATCGGTAAGAAACTACATGTAGATACATGCGAGTCTTAAATAAAGGGAAACGTTACTAATCAACAAGTACGTGTCTTCAGTCACGTCAAACGTCAAGGGGCCATGTCAACATTGTTCATGTAAAAGTACT